GAGAACTTTATTAACGGGCTTGGAGTCTTCCGTCGAGGATAGTATGACAAGACTAGATCTCTCACCTTTTCTGCTTGACTTGAAATTGGGAAATCCATGACCGTGTCAAGTCGCCAACTTCAGGGTCTCCGCGGGAGGGTAGCATCATAGATCAGACAGCCGGGTGGCGCCGGCTCCGGATTAACAGCGACGGTCGAGTCACGATCTGAACGTTATTCTTCAGTAAGCTTTCTGCCCTGAAGGACCCCTACGTCGGAGGCTTACCAGATGACGAAATTCCTAACGGGCTCGATTGCTGCAAATGAGCCAAGTCATGTACACCTCTGACGATCGTACTGATTGTGCCGTTTGACAGTGATGGTCTTAAAGTCAAACACCACATACTGAATTTCTCCATTCTAGATGTGACGTCGATGAAGTTATTCCAGATGTAGCTAAGTGTCATCTCGCTCCAGGATCGTGGCTTTGCGGGGTGAGGAGTTGGCGTTTGGAGGCTCTTCACGGGGTCTACCAATCACAAAGTGTGGCGCTCCTTCTCCAGCCTACACGGGGTAGTTGTTGATTGTGTTTAACATGTATCAGGCTTCTAAAGGTGTCTTGGATGTTGCACAGTCGTGATGATGCACGTCTGTTTCATCAACCGCATAAGAATGCTTTGACCTCAATCATTCAAGTATAACATATATTAGATATGCAGAAACACTACTAGATATATTGAACGTACCACCAAACCCTTTTATCATTGCGTGACACTGCGGTCTTCTACCTGCTGCGTTACCATGTCTTCGAGCTATTCGTTCTGTAGCAACGGTCCCCAACCTTCTTCCAATTTCACATGTCCCGTTGGGGAAATTTGCCTATGACTTGCAGACAATAGTACAGTCTTGTGTTGTCCGGCTGGGTCGACTTGCAACCAAATACAGCCCATCACCAGCGATTTACGTGAGCAAGATGCGTCGAAAGACCCCAATGCGGTCATCATAACAACAGTCTTCGATGTTTCGATTCCGGCATGTGGTGACCAGACTTGTTGTCCAATTAGGTACACCTTTAATGCGTTGAACAAGGGCGACGTGCGGACGACCAGAGTCAACCTCCAGAGGGCCATAAGGTGGTAGCTTCTTCATCGCCCAACCTAACTTCGTCATCTGTAACTAGCATCGCAACTTCACCTACATTGACAACGTATATCCAGTCATCCTCAACCCCAGCATCCAATTCCACTATTGATAATCATTCTGATCTCGGCTGTCGTCATTAGTGTTCTCGGTATCATCTTGATACTTATACTTGGCTCCTGGCGCTGGAGGAGGAAGCAAGAATTGGAAGATAAGGACGACAAAATGGGACAAAATCAATTTGAGAAGGTAGAATAGACGCAGGCCATGAGCTACCAAAAAGACAAATCTTTCACGAGTTTGCAGGGGTGAGAAGCCCTGTGGAGTTGCCAGCGACGCCAATGCCATTACACGCCTAAGAGCCACCAGGTCGGGGTTACATCACGCGTGCATAATACAAGAATTGACATGCAATGCGAGAATTAACAGTACTGGGCAAAATATCAGACATTCTGTCGCATCATGATGCTGTGGAGAGAAGCTATTTGCAGAGACCGAGGAAGAGAGCCGCGGCCGTGTGTGATCGGCAGTTTAGCCGATTACGGCGCGGCACGCCATCCGAAAATTTCTCGGCTTACGGAGTCAGATAAGCGAAAGTCGGTTTCGAGGCCGGATTCCTTTGATCGAGCCCAACCATGCATTGAGCAACAATTCCTACACGTCGCGACGGGCAATGGCCGTGTCGCCTCTCTACCGCGCTCTTCTGCGGCGACATATCCAGTTCCTGCGCCCAAAGCCCGGGGCAGGCCAGCGCCGCCCGAAGTCCTCGAAGCCCCATGCGCCAGAGAAGGAGGACCCGGTCCCTGTACCCAACACCGTCGCAGCTCTCCCCCTCTGGCAGCGGCTGGGTCCGCTGACCAGGCTGGCTCAGGCATATGCGCGTGCACAACGACGAAGGCCGTACGTGACACAGGTGTGCACGTCTCTGGTCATATATTTCTGCGCAGACCTGTCTGCCCAGCGTATCAGCGGCAAGGACTATGACCCAGTGCGGACGGTGCGCTCGCTATTGATTGGGGGCATATCCTCGATCCCAAGTTACAAGTGGTATGCTGCGACATGGTGTGATCATTTTGGAGCCTCTAGAAGCTGACAGCCGTCTCAGGTTCCTCTTCCTCTCGCATAACTTCAACTATGCCTCGCACTTCGTTTCGCTCGGTACCAAAGTCGTCGTGAACCAGCTGTGCTTCACGCCTATCTTCAACAGCTATTTCTTCGGCATGCAGGCGCTGCTGGTAGGCGACACTCTGCCTGAAGTCTGGGAGCGCATCAGGCGCACTGTGCCGATCAGTTTCGTCAACTCGATGAAGCTGTGGCCCGCGGTGACGGCCTTCAGCTTCACATTCGTGCCGATCGAGTACCGCAGCGTGTTTGCGGGGGTCATCGCGGTTGGCTGGCAGACATATCTGAGCTATCTCAACCGCCAGGCCGAGGAAGAGGAGGAGTCGAGGAAGTTCGGCGGAGGAGAGCCACGCGTGCTAGAGAAGATGGCGGCATAGACACGATACTGCGCGTAACAGCGTCTGCGTGGTTGTTTTGCATTGCATTTAGAACGGCGTTTCCGCGGACCCCATAACTATACCTTCATAGAACATCTCGTTTCTGTACATAGCAGACATACATGGCATGGGTAGCATCGGTAGAGAAATCTAGATTTTCCCAAGATGGCGACAGCTGTCAGTTGATCTGATCTGCTTTGATCCACTGGTCGTGCGATTTGGCTGGTGAACAACGTGTGCTCGGGGGTTTGCAGGAGTCAGTCGACGCTAGCAGGAATGCTGCCGCAAGAGTACTGTACAGTACTTCATCCCGCCAAAATTTCCTGACATCACAGGCCGACCACTTGCACCTCGACAATCTCCTTCTTCTCCTTCCACCTCCCCTCCAGCATCGCGAAGCCATTGAGTGCTGGCACGGTCCAGCATCTCAACTCAAGCATGGCCCCTTCAATTCTGCGAGCTCGATGTGCCCTTCGATCCGCTCTGCGGCCTGTTAAGCCATCTGCATTCACCCCCTCGACCTCGCGATTCGGCGCACGTAGCTCAAGGCGGCATGCCTCCAGCTCCTCTCATTCGACAGACTCCCTTCTTCTCGGCCGTCTGCGCATCGCCTTCTGGAGCGCTTCAATTACCGCATCTCTTTATGTCGGCTATCTTTACGCTACCGACACCCGCGCCTCGGTGCACCGTTGGATTGTTCCGCCTCTCCTGCGTCTGGTCCTGCCCGATGCCGAGGATGCCCATCACGTTGGCACGGTAGCTCTCAAGACGCTCTACCAGCTGGGCCTCAATCCCCGCGAACGCCCCGAGCTGTCCCTCGTCTCCGCGGCCAAGGAGCCGTCCGACCTCGCCGTCTCAGTGTTTGGTACGGTCGTCGCGAACCCAATTGGCATCAGCGCCGGCCTCGACAAGGACGCTGAGATCCCCGATGCGCTCTTCGACCTCGGCGCCGGCATTGTGGAGGTGGGCGGATGCACGCCCAGGCCGCAGGGCGGGAACCCGAAGCCGCGCGTGTGGCGTGTCCCAGCCGTGGAGGGTATGATCAACAGATATGGCCTGAACTCTCGAGGAGCAGACGCGATGGCCGCTACGCTGCGCGACAGGCTGAGGAAGTTTGCGCGGTCGCTAGGCCTTACTGAGCAGCAGGTGCTGAATGGCGAGGGAACCGAGGTGCCCCCAGGAAGTCTGCTACCTGGCCGGCTGCTCTTGGTGCAGATTGCTAAGAACAAGGAGACAGACGAGCGAGACGTGGAGGCTGTTGCCAAGGACTACGTCTACTGTGTTAACCGCCTGGCACCATATGCCGATGTGCTAGTGGTGAATGTCAGCAGCCCGAACACGCCGGGTCTGCGAGACCTGCAGGCTACTGGGCCATTAACAAAGATATTAAGCGCTGTCGTCGACGAAGCTAGGAAAACGGCCAGGAAAACAAAGCCAAAGGTCATGGTCAAGGTCTCCCCAGATGAAGACGAGGACTCCCAGATAGAGGGCATTGTCCAGGCGGTCTGGATGAGCGGCGTCGACGGCGTCATCGTGGGCAACACAACCAAGAGAAGGCAAGGGCTGGTCCCGGCCGGCATAAAGCTCACCGTCAAAGAGCAGCAAGCGCTCACGGAGCAAGGTGGCTTCTCAGGTCCTACGATGTTTGATCAAACCCTGTACCTTGTCCAGAGATATCGAAAACTGCTAGACGGGCACTCCTTGCAAGCAGGCACAGACGAGGTCACCTCAAACGCAGGCAAGAGCTCGGATCAAAAAGTGATTTTCGCGAGCGGAGGCATCAAGGATGGCCAGCAGGCTCTAAAAGTTTTGAATGCTGGCGCAAGTGTTGCTATGTTGTATACTGGTTTGGTCTATGGAGGATCCGGGACGGTCACACGCATGAAGGGAGAGCTCAGAAAAGAAATTGCCGATGGCAAGGCATAGACAACATGGACTGTAGCAATATCACGAATAAGTAAAATAGAAGAAGTTCGGCAAGGCAAAGATTATTGTAGCGGGCTAGTCATGAAGTCTCTCCCCCCCCTATTTGTTGGCGATGCCCCCAGTCACCGATCCTATCGCTTTGTCTCCCTCACAGCGAGCTTATTGTTCCCAAATTAGCTTTACTAGTTAGGACATACAACAACTACTTTTGATACTCGTACAACCACTATACTAGTGACCATAGTTATGTTTCGACGTTCACAGAGCAATAAGAGTCCCACTGCCAACCCACTACCAACCAGGATAAAGCATTATACAGAGTAAGACTTAATACCTATCAAATGTCAAACTTCTTGTATCCCATGCCTTTGACGAATGTCTGCATCCACGGGCCCTGCGTCTTTTGTTCCTCCGCAAGCTCCCAGTAGAGTTTCGCATGCGCCTCTCCATCGACTCTATATTTGGCCGTTCCGTCCGCCTTTCGTTCATCACCATAATAAAACCTACAATAATTTTAGTTTCAACCGTGATCCAAAGTGGGAAATCGCTTACTTAAAGCCGCGGTCTTTATATGCAGCAGAAGCAGCCCAGATCATATGTGCGCCGGCGGATTTGCCAATGCCTTGGTCGAGAAAGCCCGGGAGGATAGTCATATTCAGGATGTTTCCAGTGTAGATGAATGTTTTTGAGGCAGAAGCGGGAAGCTGTGCAAAACCAGAGACGGCTTGTTGCGCGGCTACAAAAGCACTAGTGATGTTGATTGTCACATCTCGATTGAGAGCGGCCAGCGGAAGGGCGAAGGGGTCCTCGGGTGGGGTGAACGTCGAGGCACTGACTGTGGATATTCAGTAGAAGTTCAAATGCATCCTCGGGTACCAGGGCTTACCATTATAAATGACTACGCTTGGAATACCAAACACTTCATTGACCTTTTTGAATGCGTTGACAACATCGTCGGATTTGGAGAAGTCACTCTTGATATTTAGTTGATTGTCCGTTCTATCTGCCTCCTCTAGTGATCGAGCAGCAAGGGCAACCTTATAGCCTCTCGAGGCAAAAGTGCGAGCGACTGCCTGGCCTATGTTTGGTCCTGCTCCGAGGATGAGTATAACTGGGGAAGTGCCGGGCATGTTTCTGAGCATAGGGAGAGGTCGTTGGGCGTTATGCTGTTGAACAAGAAGCCCTCGCCTGCTATATAGATGTTGATGCCGCTAAGCCAGAAGGAGTCTTTTGGGCGTTTATAATCAAGTGCTTATAAACGCTGCCGGAGCGGACCATTCATACCAAGCCCTCCGTCTGCCATGTACACAGATACCTAAAGGCGGCATCATTCAACGATTCGGAGCGGCGAACATAGTGCCCGTGATATGAATAATCATGAGGCATTGGGTATCAGTAACATTGTCTTCTGCAATAAATCCTGAATGCCTGAGGAAATGAGAATTGCCTTGGTCTTCAGCTTGTCCATTCCCCCATCCTGACTCGTTTACACATTTGCTAGTGAGCCCCACTGTAGCATTGAAGGAAAGGCAACCTGCAGGACACCTACAGCGACTATTATTGACCATTCCTGACTAAAGAAGCCTGTGATGAGAAACTTTGTCATTCAGGTAAACTGACAATCCCATATCCTGTAACTTGAAGAGTCCCAGGTTTCTGCTCATACTTAAACGACGTAATTGATGAGCTACCAAGATGCATCCATGTCGAGTGCGGGGAAATTCAATTGCCGGATTTCGAGACCCCTCCTCATAAGCTTCTCAAAGATCCGTCAGGTGTCGGTCTACCAATTCTTATTTCCTACAATTGTCCTTCACAGTCAGCGAAAACCATTGTTGATAACTACCAAAACCCTGTCACTGATAATCTGCCCACTCCTCTGAAGTTGCACAATGGAGGATCACGCATGGCCAGGCCAGTACAAGGCCGCCATTAGCTTCACAATGGACAATTTGGGCGAAGCACAAGATGTCAATAAAGGTGTTTGGCCTGCGGAGCAACCGATCGGAAGTCACTATTCAGTCAAAAACCAGATTCCACGGATTTTAGACTTGCTCGATAAGTTTGATGTGAAGGCAACTTACTTTGCCGAGGCCTGGAGTCTCGACGTCTATCCTGATATCGTGAAGGAAATGTCACACCGAGGGCACGAGATCGCGTGGCACGGGTATCAACATGAGACATGGAGTAGTCTCTCTCCTGATGAGGAGAAAGTCAACTTCCAAAAGAGTTTTGAGAAAGCCTCAAAGCACGGGGTCAAATACCACGGATTCCGGCCCCCTGGCGGCACCATCAACGACAGGACATACGATTTACTCCACGAGTACGACATTGGCTATATTTCCCCACTTGGGTCACTTGGAGTTGACCGCGATATTATTGTACTTCCTTTTGAATGGAAGACTGTCGACGCACACTACTACATGGACAAGTTCTCTGGTATCAGAAAGTCTCTTGGTGACCAAGAAGAAGTCATGAGCCCAGGTGCTTTCCGAGATTACCTATTTTCCAAAATTTCGGAGGTTGCCAAAACGCATAGCTACATATCAATATTATTCCACCCATTTCTTCAGACGAATGAAGAAAAATTCTCAGTCTTGACTGATGTGTTAGCACGGCTTAGCAGCGATCCTAGCATCTGGTGCGCACCTTGTCAGGAAGTCGCCGCCTGGATATCAGAGCACTCGGGTTCTTTTACTTCTCACAACAATTGAGTAACAAGCCGGATTCTAGCTTCACAGAACGAAGGACGTTGGCAGGGCTGAAGGAATTACGGTCTCCGGTTGACATCCGGCATTCTTTTGGAGACACCACCGAGGGGATTTGGGCTGCGCCTAGAGTGGATCTCGATTTTCCGCAAACGGCAGCTCGACTGTACGCGCTTGGACAAGATCTAGCAGGTCGCGACTACAGCGTTGCATTGCGCTGCAGGGTTGCAGAGACCCTGAAATGAGGCATCTTGCAGGTCAAACTTTATCAGATAACAACATGTTGAATACGAGCAATGCGTCAAAAATATATTGGTGCGAGATCGGTGCTAAAGCGACGGGTCCCAAGGTTCAGTCTCGTCCGATGCTCCGCATGCTGCCTTCGGAGGGGATAGAAATGTGATGCTCCTAACCTGAGAGGCAAGCCAAGCTTTTAACGGTCGCCAAGCCGCATGCTCACAATTACAGTTGCTCCATTAAGTTTCGGGAACATTGCTTTAAGGGGTCAACATCACCGAATACGATGTTGGATCGCGCTCCTAAACTCACAAGCGCTTCAAGCAGTTTGACCATAGATAGCGCTACATACTGCGGAATGGTGTATGAATACCATCGAGTGGTTTCGATTAAATATCATTTGAGTATCTCCAGGAGTATCCGATGCAAGTGTATGTTGTTTTAGTGAAATTCAACAGACGCCATGCGGTTACCGAAACTCATCACTGTGCTGTCGGCTGTAACTGGGGTTCTCGCTCAGAAAGCACCACTGAGGCGGCGTGACGACAACCCTGCTCCTGAAACAGCGGGAAATAGAACAACAGTAGCGCCAAAGCGGTTTATACTTGAGTTCGCTCAGGTAAGTCTCGAGAAGCATTTTGAATCACGGAACTCTCTGTTCATCACATCACAGGGCACCAATGCCGAGGCGGCCGCCGCTGAGGTCGCTAATGTTCGAGGTGCCAAGATTCTGAGAGTTTTCCAGAGCGACATTTTCAGTGGTGTCGCAGTCGAAAGCGAAGATGAGAATATTGATACTCTTGAATCAATTGAGCCTGTTTCCAGAGCATGGCAATCCAAAAGAATCAAGTTAGCTCCGGGTGCGCCTTCAAAGTCTTTCAGCGAAGAGGCGACTGCCTTTAACTACTCTATCCACCACATGACCGGTGTCGACAAATTGCATGCTGCTGGCATCCTTGGAAAAGGGGCTAAAGTTGCTATTGTCGACACAGGCGTTTACTATACCCATCCTGCAGTGAGTCTCTCACCTACCTGTGAACTTTCAAAGCTGAAGTTGTTCAGCTGGGCGGTGGCATTGGCCCTGGCTTCAAAATTGCTGGTGGATATGATTTGGTTGGCGATGGAAGTATGTATACAACTTCTCGTAATCATGTGCGTTTGCTAATCCTTATAGTTTGGCCGGAGGCGGGAGAAAAGGAGCCAGATACTGACCCAATGGACCAGCAAGGGCACGGCACACATGTTTCAGGCATTATTGCAGGCAAAAGCGACATGTATGTTGACTGATGTTGTGCCTGAACTGTGACTGACTTACACGGCGCTGACGGCTGATAAATATTTAGCTTCACTGGTGTCGCTCCAGAAGCTACCCTATTCATGTACAAGGTCTTCAGTCAAATCGATGGGACTGATGAAGATACTCTAATTGATGCTTTTCTTATGGCATACAAAGAAGGTGTAAGTGCCCCAAGAGTCAAAGAATCGTTTTGTATCTCACGCATCACTAGGCGGACATCATAACAAGTTCAATCGGGGGGTTGAACGGCTGGACCGATGGTCCATGGGCTACAGTTGCTTCCAGACTAGTCGACCAAGGCGTAGTAGTCACTATCTCTGCAGGAAACGATGGTCAGGCCGGTGCCTATGCAGCAAGTAGTGGCTCCTCTGGAGAGCATGTTGTTGCGGTTGCATCAATTGAGCCCGACGTACTCGCAGTGTCATCCTTCAAGGCAACATTCAATCTCGACGGCATGTCTAACGCTACTTATGTTGCATATTTGTCTATGCAGGATTGGTTTCCGTCAGAAATCCAGGATTGGCCCATTATTCCATTGAATCTGGATACATTTATCGAGAATGAGGCATGCCAACCATTACCTGCCGACACTCCCGACTTGTCTAACGTGGTGGTTCTCATTCGCAGAGGGGGTTGCAACTTCTCAGTGAAGCAACAGAACCTGTCACCGTTCAATGCTTCTTTCATTCTATTCTACTCAAATGAGATGCCCGTTGTGATTCCGACGACGGAAGAGACTAGTAGTACTATCGCTATGATTCAGTCCGAGGCAGGAGCGGCAATAATAAACACGATCAAGGCAGGAGGGAATGTCACCGCGGATTTCACAGAGGCTCCGATTAAGCACATCGTTGGTGTGCCCAACGATGAAGATGGGAGAGCACCGAGTACTTTCACCAGCATCGGTGCAACCAATGAGCTGTTTATCAAACCAGATGTTGCTGCACCAGGAGGACGGATACTTTCAACATACCTCAATAATGGGTACGCCATCTTGAGTGGTACATCGATGGCATGCCCATATGTCGCCGGTGTTGCTGCTCTCTACATTGGCAAATACGGTGGTCGCGCTGTCCATGGTCCAAAATTCGCCAAAAGCCTAGCGATGCGTCTCATCTCGTCGGGCGAGGCTGTGCGTTGGGATGACGGGACTGGAGAAGGGAATGACTTCGGGTTTCTTGCCTCTGTGGCGCAAGTTGGTACCGGCATTGTCAACGCTTCCAAGGTCTTAGATTACACGACGAGCTTGTCCTTTGCTAAATTCGCACTTAACGACACACACCATTTCAGTCGGTATCAGAGTGTGGACATCGAGAACGTAGGCGCTGCTCCCGTCACGTACACGTTCTCTTCACAAGCTTTTGGAGGCATGGAAACTGTACTCACGGACACTGCATACTGGGGCGTACCCAGAATTGCCTGGTTCGAGGAGGTGATGGCAGCACCAAAGACCATGGTTCCGGCCATCTCTTATCCAGGGGGCACATTTACTGTCAAACCTGGGGAAACCAAGACTGCCAAATTTTCATTCAAATACCCCGAAGGCCTCACTCCAGCAAATCTTCCATTATACAGTGGTAAAGTCATCATTTCAGGCAGTAATGGCGAGACATTGTCCGTTCCCTACATGGGACTCGCGGCTGATCTACACAAGGATATAGGAATCATGTTCCAGTCTCCAATTGGGTTCCCCACGCTCACTTCACTTCGCAGTAGCGTCCCGATCAGCCAGAAGAGCAATTTCACCTTCGACTTGGCCACAGACATACAAGATTTCCCTAAACTGTACACGCGGATGAACTATGCCACTACTATGTTGCGATGGGATATTTTCAATAGCGGGTGGACAGAGCGCGACTGGAAATACCCACCTGCTGTTGGCGTAGCTGGCTATGTTGGCTCGGTCACAAGTTGGGCACAAGCGTCGGGGAAGTCGTTTTTCAACGCAAGCTCCGATGACATAAATGATTTGATCAGTCTGCCAATAACAGATCTGCCGAGAGATATTGCCGGTGTCTATGGCGTAGAGCTGTGGTGGCTGGGTCGTCTCGCAAACGGCACGCAGATCGCACCGGGCAGGTATAACATGAGGTTCGCAGCATTGGTGCCGTTTGGTAACCCTACTGCATCTGATAACTGGGATATCTTTGAGACACCAGAATTTGATGTGCTGCCACTTTGAATGGCCGATCAACAAGTGCATACCTAGTCTAGGCTCCTGGAGACTTCGTAGCTTACCCAGACACCCCACACTAATTCAAACTCGATTGAGAATGATAGACTCGGATACATGTTAGATTCTAGCAAAATGGACATCTTGCGTCATGGCTTCGGCAGTGACTCAATTTTGTTCACAGATCTCGTTGTAGTATCTATTTTGTTTTGACTATCAAGACACCAATCACATGTATTTTGTCGGTATCTGCCATATTCCTAACCCTCCCATGCTATTGCCGGAACACACGTAATGATGTCTATATATGGCGAATCTTTCAACGCCCGTCAATCATTCAATAATCCTAAAGATATACTTGAACGGTCCCTTCCTTTCTTTCATTGGTTGCTCCGCATCGATGACTTCCTGAAGGCCGGTCTGCATGTCGACCTCATCCGGAGCCCATGCCCAACTATCTTTCCAGAAATATGCTCGGTGGCCGAAGTACATGACCAGAAAGATGGGGATGCCAATGTAAGCTGTCAAGAAGGAGCTAGCTGACCAGTTCTTAGGGAAGAACACGGTGAATCCATTGGTCAAGCATAGCAATGTGAACATGAATATGGCAATGTAAGCGCCATATGGTTGTATCCAATGACGATAGGGCACTTCGACACCTTGCACCTTGGCTGCCTTTCGGAATCGAAGGTAAATGATGCCGCAGCAAATCCAGGAGATCATTCCCCAGGTATTCGTCAAATTAACGAACCAGTTGAAGACGACAGAGCCGGATGAAGCCACATTCAAGTACGCAAGGGCGGTGAACAGAGAACTTACGGCGACAGCATTGTATGGGACACCCCAGCGGTTGCACGCCTTAAAGATACTAGGTGCAGACCCTTGAACCGCTAGGGAATACAACGCTCGGCTGGAGATGTACAAGAACGAGTTCCCCGATGACCATGCAGAAATCAGAATAACGGCGTTCACGATGCTTGGTAGCGTGCTGATCCCGGCGTTCGCGATGGCGACGACAAAAGGCGATGAGCCAGCGCCGGCACCTCCGTTATTCAATCGTGCGTCGTCGGAGGGGCAGGTCACTCCAATCGCCAAGACGGAAAGGACGTAGAAGATGACGAGACGATAGAAGTATCGACGCGCTGCAATAGGGAGGTTTCGTCGTGGATTCGCCATTTCGCCACCGGTGACCACGATAAGCTCTGGAGCAAATGTGAAGGGGAAGACACAGGCGACAAGTGTGTGCCAGAAACCAACAAACAGGCCCGTGCTGCCCGGTAGAGTGTAGGCATCGTCACCGCTTCCTACTGTATAACGTACTGCCGCGCCTGGATGTTTCCAATATCGAAATCCGAGTCGGTCTCGAGATGGTCCACCGCCCCAAAAGAGGATAAATGACAACATCAAAAGTCCGATCATCATGATAACCTAGATACTAAGTTAGAGGATGTATGCTTCCTATTTTCTCATTCTTTGAGCCGCATTTGGCTACATACCTTTGTTCCTGCGAACCAGAACTCCGTCTCTCCATAGAAGCGCACCGGCATGAAGTTCAGTGCTACAATGACCACCAGCATGATTGTGATCCACACGGCAATATTGACGCTGTTAGGCCAATAGTCGATGACTAGACCAGCAGCGGTAATCTCGTAGGGTACAAGAATGCCCAGAGCGTACCAGTACAGGTAGCCCAGGGCGAAGCCGAGCGAACGCGACACATATCTATAACCAAAATATGACATTGTCCCTCCATGCACTGGAAGGTAGGTGGCTACTTCCGTGACCGCTGTGACGACGCAGAGAACTAGGAAGGTCAGGAAGATGTAGCCTGCGAGGATGAAGGCAGGGCCTCCTCCGGCAAGAGTTTGACCAGATCCAACAAAAAGACTGAATTGCTGAGTTAGCTCGCCCTTGGGTATTCATTGGCACGGAGAGTGCGACGAATGGGGATCGCCTTACCCAGTTCCAATTGTCCCTCCCAACGCAATCATCTGCGCATGCCTGCTTTTGAGGCCGCGCTGCGTTATCCCATATCGTGCGGGGTCTTCAATGAGGCTTGCGGCAACAATTGACGCCTGGCGAGCACGCGCCTCGTGGCCGTGATCATGGCCGTAGGGCTCTCCGACAGGGCTTGCGCCCTTCTCAGGATCCGTAAAGTCCTTTGCGGCTGACATGTTTCCAGCGTTGATGTCAACCAGCTCCGCTACCCAAGCTGTTGAGAGATGACGAGGCGGGAGGAAGCTCACACGAGCTGATCGGCCCTGAATATGTATGCAGGGCTTATAAGGTTACACCCGACCTCCTCCTTCCAGCCGTGTTCGCCTACCTGTCGGCGTGACCGCGCTGACGTGAATGGCCATGACGCTGGACGGGCGGGTCCTGCTGAGAGTAACAAGGTCAGCAACGAAAGGATCAGCAGGTCGGGCGATAAGGGGCGATCAGGGGATGCGGGCGATAACACGACCCGGCAGCTACATTCCCGATGCGGAAGGCTTCAGGATATATGCGAGCAGGGATGTGGGGGTGGTGATATTGAGTAATGAGCATTTGCTAACAAGATAAGAGGATTGATCCCTATGTCTCAGTTAATCTTTGTTAACGGTTTTTAGTCCAGCTCCCTTGCAAGCCGCTGATAACAAACTCGACCAGGATGTCAGAAATCCCACCTTAAGGACTCCATTGCTGTTAGTGGGTTAGATTAGTGACTGGATGGCTGACCTCACCTAGCAGCCCTCGCTGACGGTTGCAGTTTCAAGACATTACAATAAACACTACGTAATGAGTCTAGACCTCCAGTGCTCTGAAGCTTGGCGTTCTCATATAGTTTATACTAGCCTTACACTTATCATTTCAACGGAGCTGAGGCTCGATACGCCAACAGGGCATTTGTTGTACCGGCAGCATTACTATGTCTTCCATTGGTGAATTTCCCCCACTGTTCCAGTCAAGATATCCATAATCATCAGGATATTTGTTTACGCCGCGTGACGATAAACTAAGGGGCTGCAGCTGTCCGCGAACAGCAGAGTCGTCCCACGAATTCCTCAAACCCCAGGTTAAAATTGTACTTACATGGGCGTCGGATCACCATTTTACTACTGACACACAACTGTATTGCCCCTCAATCGTCAAGTACCACATCACGCCACACGTATGTGTTCTTACGAATGTAAATTGTGCTGTTACTAGATCCTACCTGACTGCCCTCTCGTACTTCAACAGTGAGCCCTTCAAGCGGCAATGGTTTACGCAGTGCGTCGTGCCCCTTCTAACCGATAAAGATCATTGGCATCGGCATCTGCTTCTCCGGAGGAAGCTGACTGATTTCGCTTAGCAGTGGAATAGGTTCAGGATCTTGCGACCTCTGGCTTGATGACTATTAGCCTCTTGTTTCGCCATCAGGACCCAATTTCTACGATGGCTTACGCATCCCGCTCGAGGAGAGCATCCACGGTTAGGTGTGAGGTCATAGTAAAGAAGGAGAGCGCGATCAGTGCTGACCGACACGAGACACATGTGTTTCTGATGTTGTCAGATTTGATCACAATAACTAGAGAAGGTGCAGAAAGCGATCCCTTTATATTCACCACTGATGCCTGCATCACAGCAATACAATTAGGAATTGAAGACTGGTTGCTATGATGCATCTAATGTGCAAGGGTGCTGACATCCCAAGACATACTAGTCTCGGCAATGCTAAACGGTGTGCAGGGGTAGGTGACTTCCCAAAACGTCTAGACTATGCTTGATCAATGTGGCAGTAGCTTAGCGGACCTTTTTGCCTATGGAAAGCTGATGATTCATAACTCTTTTCCGCTTCAAATGAGACAAACATGCAAAGCATCCTCCGTGAGGGCCGTAAAGCTAGGACTCAACCCAAACACATTGGAGCTCTTAGTTCACCCATGGATACTGAGGCCGACGTTCAATGGATCTCTAGTACCATTGCAACCAGGGGCTACAATATCTCCAAGGCTGAACGTCTTGCTATTCGACGGCAAGCCACGAAGAAAAGCAGTCAAACAAAATAAGGGCGGGGCCGCCGTTACCAGATTAACATTGGCCAATACCCTATCTTTTCGACCGATCGCGGAGACGACATCTCTGTCTCGTGCAAAGTCCTCGCTAGTACGAATGTTGGGCCTACAAAGCAGACTTTTGCAACGAGTAGGGATGGCTTGAAAAGGCGCCCCCATTGCGGAGCGCTGTCCAGTATCCCAGCCCCTGTGCCATTGGTTGGATTAGAGCAGTTGACTACTCGGACTGGCGTCAACATCCTTTGCCTTTCTACGCTGACGGTGTCTCATATTGGACACGTTGTATCTGAGTTCTTTCATCGTCACCCAAGCTGGTTGGTATCAACTCTTCGCCAGCCGAAGAAAACGCACCTCCACCACATTGCGGATCGATATGGCCAAAGCAAGTGTTTAGATGCCGTTGTAGATGCTCTAATCTCAAAAGTTCGTACCGTTATGCTTTCACAGCATGGGAAAGCACTACACGCCCTCCAATCATCCATTTCAGATCCAATACTTTGCGTATATCCAGATACACTTTGTGCTATAGAACTCTTGGGTCTTATTGAGGTAAAACTTCTCGAAATGAACACGGCGTCGCCTGGCAATTAATCCAGATAAACATAGGTTTTAGAGACGTCGGGACAAACTGTTTGGACCCATCATATCCCAGGAGCCGCACGTCTCATCCAAATCAGAGGCGTCAAGAGATTCACATCTACCTATGGAAAGGATCTTCTGCTATCTTTGGTCGCTCCAACTGTTCGTGTCCATTTCAAAGCCGAACAGATGCATTCTTTGGTAACAATCATGTTTTCAACGAAAGCGTTTTCGAAGAATCAAGGTTGTACTGGACAGACCCCATTCTTAATGCTAAGATGTTAGCGAACAGCAAGCTGGCGCGCCAGATTACTTCTCGAGCTTTCAACCCAAATTACACCTTCACACAAGTAACCGAGCAGTTTAGCCTTGGAGAAGTAGCTGCGCCGGTCATAGTCTTCGGAGACCTAGCATCTGCGACGGTCAACAAGTCACTTGTCGAATACTTCTTTCGTGAGCATTTTCAATCATCGTGACCGATGCCGTGAATAAATAAATGCTAATGTGGTAATAGAAAACGAGCGTCTTCCAGCTCTCCTTGGCTGGACAAAGCAGACGCAGGTTGTTAGTCAAGAAGACATCCTCAGAATGAGCCAGATCATCAGCAATGCAACGAGTCTTGTCACTACTTCGTCTGATACCGCCCTAGTCTCTAAGCGGCGAGACTTGCATTCGGGCCTAATCCTCTAAAGCGACGACGAGCAGAAGGGGCATAAGAGATACAGGGCTGGATACGGGAGGCTCAACTGAATGGTCCTGGATGCTCACGCATTCCAAGGGCTCATGGTCGGACGCTTTCGTTACGAAGCCACTTTGTCAGCGCACGAAGTACGTCAAGATATATCATAGCTCTTTGAAAAGCAACTCGAATCAATCTTCGGGGTATATGTAAGTCTCTCTAACCCCTCAACTCCCTATGCTATCGCGTAAACGAGCAGTTTTTTCATGTCTTCACAATGTCTACCGGCTTCTCTTCTTTGCTCTGCTTGAAGTCACTTGAGGATTGCGAGATATTATCACCGTCAAATTGTACCCGTACATCCGTTGTGCGAACAATGCCATTATAGGTCATTATTTCCTCCTCAGATCCTGTAGGCGAGACACTGCGACATTCAGTATGCTGTGCACGCGTGGTGACTCGCATAGCCTTGAGGGCAATGCTGTTCGGGCCGTTCCCGAGATGCGACGTCGTTTCTCGGTGGTGAACACCACTATGTGACGTTCCACCATATGTTGGGACGTTGGCGTATGGGTTCTCGTGTTTGCTGCCCCTCGACCCGTTGAAAAGTTTCGGAAACCATTTGTGGAAAAGCGGACGAAGGGCTGGGCCACACGCTGAAGCGATGGCGAGGTTGACTTCGACAACATTCAAGGTAATTGCGATCGTATGAAACCGGTCCTTGTGTGGGTTGACGACGTAAAATAGTTTAATCAGTTCCACGAGTCGGAAGATGGCGATGATCGTCACACTAGGCAGAGCTTAGGATCAGTCTCCGTCTAAGCAAGACGAGTTTGTGCAAAACGTGGTACTCACGACAGTCCGATCATGAAGAGGAAAATAACGCCGGTCTTTGCTGCCCTGGGCATCTTCAGGCCTAAGAAGATCCAAAAGGGGAGAGCAAGTACTAGTATATCCGTGAAAATGTTCAAGGACGAGAGCGTGATATGAAACGAGTTATCGACACATCTAGCCCCGGCCAAGGCCTTAGGATCCCAATTTGCCTGAATGGGTAGACATTGTAGCAGAGCAACAAGGAATATGGCGACTGCTTGCAAGCCATTAAAGGTCAATAGACCAATGATGGCCCAGCGCACTCCAGTCTTCTGCCCACCGAGTCGCAGCAAAAAGACCAGTATTGACGCTCTCACGAAAGCAAGTACTGGGTTGTAGAACAACTGCGCCATGAAGAACCACCATCTGCCTGGGGTCGGGTCGAAGTCTGCGGGAACGTCTTCCTGGTGCCACCCATAGTAGTTGAGTTTAATGTCTATCACTACTTGAGCCTTGATTGTCTGTATGGCTTATGACTGTGGACTTACACATGTAAAACGGTCCAGTCATGAGCAAAGAACACAGCTAATTGCCCTATATGTTAGCAAGAACTCCCGTGGAAGCTTGGTCCTGCGTTTGAGATAACTCGAGACTTCAGATACGCACCATTGCTAAAGCGAGAAGATAATCATCTAGAAATTCGGTCAGCGCGTTAGCAGCTGTCATCTTCGCAAGCTTCAGTGGATGTGTCTGCACGTACCGATTCCCCATTGCCGTATCTTGATTCTTACGTATGCTCGTAAGCACATGGTGATCAATGCGATCGCGGGAAAGAAGAAATTGATGAACAGACCCCACGCCTGAAGCGGCGGAGTTGGGATCTGCGTCACATCTGGGTGAGATGGACGTCTTGGAAAGATCCCCATCGTGACGTGCAGCAAGACGCCTGGGCCACGAAGACTTTGAGGAAAAGATTAACATTCAAGATCTTGGGGAAATCGAACGTTAAAAGTCAGATGGTCCCCATCGCCTAAACACCACACCGAGCCATGAATCGCAGGTTACGGGATCTTCAGCTCTAAACTGCACTAACGTCGCGGGTATTGGCTTCTCCAACTAGGCTATTGTGCGTGGTAGACGTCTACCGTAGGCTAGATTTCGAAGAGCCGTTCGCCTTGATAATTCTTACAGGATTAAAAGCTCCTAGGCCAAATGACTACCGTGGTGGCTTGAGCAGAAAGGGAAGGTCGCCGGGAAAGGCGCCGCTTAGCGGCGTCGTGAAAGGGGTTGGCAACTGACAGGTGCAGAAAATGGATACTGAAGAGCAGGAGAGAGATACCAGGCTATGCGGGTGCCCCATAATGAAAGGATCCTGAAAGCCTTAGACTCGTCTGAAGCTAGGTTCCCCTGCTGCCGTGACATGAGCAATGCTCTTTACACTTGTGGCAATGCTTCAACTTTGCATGGGCCAATGAGTATAAAGCCACTAGGCCACAATCTCAACACCCATCATAAACAAGCGAAGCTCCCTCTAAGCAATCATTCAATTGTTTTTCCGTTTATACCCCTTCTTTTCCTCAGTATTCAACGAGTTCAGCTCCCAAGCTGCTAGGATGGAAAGGAGAATGCGGGTGGGTGTTTTAAGGGAAGTCAAAGCGGGGGAATAGTCTATTGCTGCCAAGTGCGTCGGGTGCTTTTAGTGACCTGCCCATGACCGGCAGAACCGCTGTACCGGGAAACGATCTTCAAATCAACCCCGGGCGTAGGTGGCGCTGTCATTAAAACCCGACAGGCCACAGGCATCTTACCACGGTTCTCCGGAGTATCGCCGGTACCTGTGCCACGAGGATCAGCTGCAAAGAAGACCATAACGCCATTCACCTGCATATGGGTGCCCAAGGAGGGCAAGAGTTGTCGGGACGATCGACAGCAAATGCGCGATTAATCAACTTGAGCACAGCGTTGAAGAATAAAATCATCTTGTCAAGTCCTGCTGTTGATGAGCTGAGATGCAATTGTATACTGTCATCAAGGATGTGATAACAGACTATGATTCGAACCTTCAGGCCAGTTTGTCGGGTTTGTCCGCGATTGCAATCATTGTCATTCTGGCCGACTTCATGCAGAAAGCTCCATACAGAGTCCCAGTCGCCAAGCCTTGGAGGAAATTGACCAAGCCCTGTAGGCCCAGTATGATGAAACAAAGCTTTAACCTTAAGCGGGCGACTTGCACGACAAAGGAGTAGTCTCTCGCTATTTTGTGGCCTAAGGATGATTTCGCAGAATACTTCTCCATCCTCGTCGTAGGCGATACCTCTTGGGGTGTTGTTATTCCTATCAAGATTCACTCGAGTGGATAATTGGAAGCTACCAGGATGCTAGTACGCAGTAAATCGAATTTAATGCGTAGGACCCACAATCTACGACTTACGGCTAATGGGTGTAGTCCTCGTGTTAACATGGGTCCTACTGGGAGGAATTAAGCCTATTGGTAATATATATACAAAGTTGTCGATCATCTCAATGCTAAGCACTCTCTCGTCACGACAAGCCAATCGTTCCTGGTCTCCTCGGATCTCGTGCGTGTGCTGTCAGACACGATGGCTCCTCTCTCTCGAGCTTTGATTCTTATCAGCACTCTGTTTTTCTCCAGTGCTGTCTCTGCCCAGACCATAAAGGTCGATGGAGAGGTGATATGTAGGTGAAATGTTTCGCTAAAACTTTGTCCCTGGATACGTATTCCGTGCTGATACTGTATAGCTGCCGATGAGACCACAGTGGCGCCGGCTGCTGAGTCGGTGGCAAGCCTGGTCGAGCCCGAAGCTATTCAGCTGACTGATGCCGTCCTCGCGAACCTGACGGATCTAGAGCTGTCCAATGTGTCTCTGTTTCAATTTGCTGAAAATGATCTTCAGAAACGCGCCGCGTCCTCGTCCAAGTGCAAGACTTTCCCCGGCGATGCATTGTGGCCTTCAAAACTGGTCTGGAAAGTGTTCGACCTTCTGACCGGAGGCGCGCTCATTGAGACTGTCCCAATCGGCGCTGCATGCTACACCAACAGTGAACACTACGATTCGGTGAAGTGCCAGGATATTCTTGCTCACTGGACCGAATCTGAGACCCAGTATGTCCAATCTTTCACGAGGTGAACCTTAGCATACTCGAAACTGGAAGCTGACAGAGATTAGTGCTCGGGATCCTACCTCGGTCATGTCTCCTCTGTATCAGGGTGAGACTTGTATGCCACAAAACGGCAACGCCAGTACTTGTGAAATTGGTGGATTCCCGTCCTATGTTGTCAATATCTCAACAATCGCGCAAGTTCAACTAGCCGTCAATCTTGCTCGTAACCTCAACCTCCGGCTCGTCGTCCACAATACTGGTCATGACTTCCTCGGCAAGTCGACTGGTGCTGGAGCTCTCTCAGTCTGGACTCACAATCTGAAGAGCCTCAAGTTCATCGAGAATTTTAGCTCTCCTTCATACACTGGCCCGGCCCTCAAACTCGGGGCTGGTATTCAAGTTAAAGAGTTGTATGATGCCGCCAACAAGTACAATGTGACAGCAGTCGGTGGCGAATGCAAAGGAGTCGGTGTTGCTGGTGGTTACATTGCTGGTGGTGGCCACTCTCCTCTGACATCCAAGTTTGGCATGGGTGCTGATCAGGTCGTGAGCGTTGACGTTGTGACTCCCGATGGTCGCTTCGTCACAGCTGATGAGCAGAACAATACCGATCTTTTCTGGGCTCTCCGTGGTGGCGGAGGCGCTACCTTCGGCGTCGTTACCGGATTGACTGTCAAGGTCCACCCCAGAATGAACTTTGTCGGTTCTACATTCACCGTGTTGAGTGGACCCGATACAAACAATACTGATGAGATATTCTGGGCTGCTATGGAGACGTACTGGCGCAAATTGGATACATACCTGGAAGTGCCCAACTATGGTTACTCTCAGATGTTCTCACGTGGTACTGGCGCTGGCTATATGTGGAGCATGCTGCCCTGGTTGGTGTCAGGAATCTCCCTGGACGAATACAAGGCTATGGTGGCGCCGCTGTTTGCCGAATGGAGGGCCCTAGGTCTTGAATTTGAGCCTGTTTACTTTGAGCACGACAACTTTTGGGACACATGGACAAGCCATTTCCCAACAGAATCTGTGGCCAACTCCAACTTGCGTACTGCTTCGCGTATATTCCCTAAGGCAAATTGGGAGAATGATGACACGCTGAATGCAACGATCGCTGCTATTCGTAGCGTCATCTCGGAAGGATCCGCCTTAATCCAGTACAATATGAACGGTGCCGCTCCTGCTGGTACCCCGGATGCCGCTGTCAACCCGGCATGGCGTGAGGCTGCATTGTTTGGCATCTTTGGCAGCCGCTGGGCTGATGGGGCTACTGAGGAGGAGATCAAAACAATCAACGAAAGGCTCACCTATGATTGGATGGAGCGTTTGCGACAGGTCACTCCGGGCAGTGGAGGCTATCTCAATGAGGGTGATGTCATGGAACCCAACTTTGGACAGGCGTTCTTTGGCTCGAATTACGACCGCTTGTTGGGTATCAAGCAGAAGGTGGATCCTTGGGATGTTTTCTGGGCTCCTACTGCTGTTGGAAGTGAAGACTGGTATGTTACCGACCAGGAAGAGTGGCTCACGCTACAAACCGGCCGTCTGTGCCGCAAGTAAGTGTTTTGTAACTTGTGGGAGCAGCACCACAAATGATACAATACTAGTTACAATACAGCATCCCTCTAGGAAGAGAGGTAGTGTCGCGTTGCTGATAATGTTGATGGATGAAGGCTTCTGAGAAGAATTAGTATCCAAGACACTAGGCTCGGCTGGTGGAAATAAGGCATTCACAACATATCAGTATCGAGACTTCCGAGCCGCCACGGCCCAAGTATCACACATTCGACAATAATGAACTTGAGCTAATACCAAAGGTCCGTTGGTCTCTCTAGATAGTTCAGGTCGATGCAACTCTATAACTCTAGAGGGTCGTAGAACGCCAACGCGACAAAAGAACCTTTTCGTATTAGTAAAACCAAAGTCTTCTGGATCACCAACCTCGAGACTGCGCTCCGTATGCCTAGCTCCATTGGTATGATATTTTCGGCCAGGAAATATGCGGGTGGCCTACAAAGTCCATCGCCCTCACCCTCAAGCCGTATACTATGTCTTACGTGCCCAGGGCGGGAGAGACTATGGCCAAATAGACGAACTCGCCCTCTTTATAGATATTTGACTACAGCTCTATCTCATCGTTTTACACTTGAAAGAATATACACCTTCTCGCAGATTACATACTCGAAGGGCATATACGAGGAAGACATAATCTATACAAGTTTGTCCAGCCAACCCTTCCCTAGATTTGTGACAAAGCAGTCTATCTAGTTCTTAGCGTCTTGCTGAACAATCCATCGCCGCACCGCGAATATGCTGGGCCGCTCCGAAGTGTTACTGAAGCCGCATCTCACGATGTGCATGGGGTGGTGCAAAGTCTGGTTCATCGACTATCGGATTCGTCGACGGATAGCATGTACCCCAAACGTCACGAGAAAGTCATTCAACGCCAATGGTTGCAGATTCGTCGAAGTGCTGCCCTTTGATGAGCATTGGGAAGTTCCCTGCGATCCTGAACCGGACACATTCCGCGTTTTAGAGAACCTGGACACGGCATTGGATGACTATTACGATGCTGCAATATGCAAGGAGAGCGGGGACTCTCCCGATTTCTTTCGCTTTAGAACCTCCGTTGGGGTGCTGGGGTGCGCAAGATTTGGTCATTGAGGATAGCACATGGGTCAGTTGGCAAAACACCAGATTGTCTGAGCCCCCGTGCAGGATGTCTGTAGTCGCTTTGCTGTCAGTTGTGTGTAGCCCGTCGGTCTCTGTTCACCTTCTTAACGGGATAGGAATAAACACTGAGAAGCGATGTTCTAGTAAATGTAAGGTATCTAACAGGGTAGTGGCTATCTGGAAGAAAGGCTAATCTTATGTGAAGCTTGGCAAGCACCAATCGAACAGGACTAAAGATCGCCAATGTCTAGCCCTAGGCCTTTGCTCTTTGCCAGTGACAACAACTCTCGTGCTGCTAGAATATCCATGATAGCCAGTCCAACACACTTGAACACATGATTTGTCTGTGTCCGGGCTACCCGCTCATAGTTTTCAATATCGCCAATCTCGACCAGTTGATCTTCTCTGACACCGGCGTTGATCAGCTCGCCAGCTTCAATAAGACAATCCTCCTTTGAGTCCACAAATATCTTGCCACCTGACAGTAGCGTCTCCCCGTCAACCTCCTGCATCGATGGTTTGTAAGACCCGATCAGCGAGATGAACCTAGGCTTGGAAACACTCAGGTAGGAGTTCGGGAAATGGGGCGTCGTCGCAGGTGTGCAGCCGAAGATGCAATCCGAGACACTAAGCAACTCCTGAAGCCGAGAATCATATTCGGGTACCGACGTCACCAGCACATCGAAGGAAACATCGGGATACTTTTGTCGAAGGGTTTCAAACAACTGCTCCATCTTCGCGGGGTTTGTCCGGTTGACTATCGTAATGCGCTTCACATCCTTGCAAAGTAGCAAAGCGAGCCTGATGTGCCACTCAGCCTGCTTTCCGGCGCCAAAGACCACGATGTTGGCCTTCTCCTGCGGGAAGCGGAGGAAAGGGATCATGACTGCTAATGACGTCCGGAATGCTGTGACCTCCTTAGCGTTGATGAGCCCTAGCAGCTCTCCATCTGGGGCGAAGACGTTGATGCATCCCTTGACGCCTTGACTGCTGAGTGTCACAATCTTTATCGCGGTCGACGTGGTGATGGAACATGGCATGAAAAGGGTCGTGTTGCCCTCATTGGTGGCAATCACCTCTCTCTGAGGCTGATAGATCGTATTCTCGGATGGTGCGCTACTTTTAGATGAGCTGTATGACTCCAGTGTACTGTGAAGGCTTTTAAGGAAGTGGAGGCAGTCCTCGGTAGATAAATTACCGAGGAGCTGCTGGACATCGGACTCCTTTAGGATGATCATTCTGTAAGTGTACGTGAATGAGCTTTACCGCTGCGCAGTGAAAATGTTGTATACTTCTTATTGCTAATCATTTGAATGTGCCATTCACTTCTCCGTATCGGACACTACAGCTCCACTTCTCGGCTTGGACTTCCCTATTGGCGCTCCTTCTCGCCCCGTAAGCCGCCTACAACCAAAAACAACCGCACATGATAAGTCGTCTCGCTCTACAGCGTATGCAAGGAAGACGGTCAATCTTAAGAGAACAAAAGAGGCAAATACATTGAAACTGCCCGCAGTACGACATCATATAGGCTCGTTTGGAACCTCATTACCTCTCTCATTCTGCTTATAATTGAAACTGTTCAATCAAAGTAGATCAAAATGATTTGCCAAGAGTGAATATTGAAACCGACTAGAGTGGAAAACTCCAGTCCGGCGTTGTCAGGCTGTTTGCTCACAGGACCCAAGGTCGTATGCTTTGTGCATAAGTCTGTTTCTCACAAATAACACTCGCAAATACCCGCTACTCGCGTCATTGTGTAGTGTTTAAGAGTAGATGCACTTGTTCGAGTCAAAGGCCACCTTTGTAATTGTAACGCCTTGTTGATCGCTATAAATAGTTTCTATCACAATGAATTGATAACAGACAATGGCTTTCAAACACCCGTTTTCTGGGATGCTGCCCTTTGTCACCGCGAAACCTCAGTTTTTTGTATCAAGAGACCAAACCCTTTGTGAACATGCTATAAATGCCTGATAATGTCTCCCGTTCTCACAATTCTCGTTCATCCCAAAGAGACCTGTACAAGACTCCGTTCATTCAACAAGAAGACAAGCCGGTCTTGCAACTGCCATCGCCACTTCATTTGCTATCATACACATTGAAGCAGATTTCACTGCCTACTAACCATTCAGACTTTTCGCTTTTCAACCCGATTGATCAAACTTGTCGAAATGGCTGGCAAGCGAAAGGCATCAGATGCATCGGTGAACGGCGCTCAACCCCGTGGTAAACGACAGCAGGTTGAGAAGCAATACAAAGCCTCAGCCAGGGCCGCCACGACTCCTCGAGCAGTGACCCGAAGCATGACGGCCGCTGCCAGACGGGCTCGGGAACAGCAGAGTGCTCAAGCATCACCTGGTCCGAGTGTGAACTATACACCAAGTATACCGGGAGGTTGGCCAAGCTCACCAGTCTCTGAGTGTTTGTTGCCAGCTTCTTCTACACTTTCCTCCAACCCGCAGTCCGTTTCCTCACCACCAGCTCCATCTTCTCCTCCTCAAGCGCCGGTAACATCGGATGAAACAACTGTTCATCCCACTCCTCCCGTACCGGCATCTTCGAAAATGAGCAACCCTGACGGAAAATTTACAGTACCACTGCTGACACCTTCGCCGACTCCGGTGCATCAAGATGACAAGGACTTGGATGCTCCCGGTGAGATAATCAAGGAGGATCCCGATATGGATGAAGTTCCGTTGGACGAGATACCCCAGTACGGTCCATTCTTGACGTCCCCAGGGGGAGTTGTCTTCCGCGATCCGTTCTTCGACGCTGCCGCCCCCAGGGGTGTTGAAGATCAAGGTCGTCGGCATCGCGGCTCTGGACCAGTCTCACCCCGAACTGTGCTCGCGGGTGACTCTCCACATCTCAGAGTTGCTGACCATCCTGTCTCCGAGCATGACTTTCTCCGGCACGACAGACGCGTGTGGACCGAGCATCACGATGAAGACGGGTGTGACGAGCTCCTGCCGAGCGTGGAGCTTCCCGGCTTCCACTACCACAAGGGCCACTCCGAAGAAAGGCCTACCCTGCCATGGGTGGGAGACTTGCTTCCTGCGGGAGGCGGATATACTACCACTTACACGACCCACCTGCGGCCCGGTGGCCTCGCTCAGCTCTTGCCGGACACAAGCGTGTATCCCGCTATTCTGCCAGCCCCTCACTTTGCCCACGACAACGGATATGACTATGCAGCCGACGATGTTCCCGCGGCGCCTCCTGCCTTTATGGGGAGGTACACGACAAGTCCGCTGCCTCCGTGGCGAGGACATGGCCCGGCTGAGACGGCAAACTTCCCCGGAGCGGAGGAGACATTCTGGCACCTGGTAAATTACCCCAACGAGGACTATGAGGTGATGCCAGACGAGCTTCCGCTGGAGCAGCCTTGGCTTCCATCAGGGGCCCAATTCCCTACTGATGGAAGGTGGGAGCTCTCCGAGGATTTCCAAGATGAAATGTGGTGAAATTGCCATGTTGATAAGGTAAGGTTACATACGATAGCATATGCAGTAGCCCATGACCACCATCTCCTTGATGGGAACTTGCTGGCTCATGTACCAAAAACACAAATGAATTCTTGTTTCCCGGATATCTTGTACCAAGCTTGAAGTGCGTGATGCGTAGCCCGTGGTGTTTTCATGTAGTCTCATAAACTACTTCACATTCGTAACAAGATGTTATTGCTCGTAGACCTTTGCTTTTCTTGAATCATTTGCATGCATGGGGCATTCATTACCCGTTTTCCCCCAAACGCCGAAGTATGCCAGTGTGCGCCCCTTCCACGACGTAGATCATAACCCTTGTCGTCATTGGACCACCGAGAACCACCTAATCCCATCTCATATGCCCATATCCTCATCACTCTCATCGTCCCTCCCGCCCATCCTCTCCTCCTCCTCCTCCTCCTCCCGCCTACTCGCCTCCACGCTCGCGCCCAGCTTCCGCACGCCGTCCACCACGCCCAGCACGAACCCCCTGCTCTCCGCGAGCTCCATCGAGCCCACGCCCCGCAGGTTCATCACGCCGCCGCCAAAGCTCTCGAGCTGCGTCGTGCTGGCGCGCATCTTGGCGGAGCGCACCTCGACCAGGTCGCGCAGCAGGCCGCGCACCTCGCCGGCGGAGGCGGGCATGTCGTCGGCGGCGTGGGCGAGCAGCGCCTCGGCGATCTCGAGCCAGTGGTAGGGCAGGTGGCCGGCGGGGGCGTCGGCGGTGCAGCTGGGCAGGAAGGGCGGCGAGAGGATGACGACGTCGCTGCCGTCGTCGTCCGAGTTGGCGCGATGGGCGACGCCGCGGGCGTCGGCGTGGGCGGGCGGCGGAGGCGGGCTGCTGAAGGCGTCGGGCTTGACTTTGGTCTCGTAGTGGATGATCTCGGCGAGCGAGGCCGGGTGCAGCCAGGCGGGCGGGACGATGTTGGCGCGGCGCTGTTTCTTGAGGAGGAGGGCGAGCCAGAGGGGGAGGTTTGCGCGATGGGGAGGGCGGAGGACGGGAGTGTCGCCCTGCAGATTGGATTGAATTGTCAGCATGAACTTGGATAGGATAGGATCGTGATGAGTGAGTGAGTTAGCCATACACCCAACAGACTGATGCTCTCCAGACGCTGTCGCGGCACAACCGTCACGAGCTCCATCTGGCACAGGAAGGCGACCTCAGAGGGGACGAGGCCCGGGGGGAAGGGTTGGGCCATGTCGTCGTAGGCGTAGGGGTAGGGCGAGCCAGTGGCTCCGTCATAACATTGCAGCCAGGAATAGACGAAATAGACGACGACGTTGACCTATCGGGATATGCAGGGCAGGGCGGTGCAGTGCAGTATCGTGTGTATAACTGATTGCAGTCGCGGATTGTGTGTATAAGCGGCCAAAGACGCGTCTTGGAGGTTGATTGAGTGATAGCGGCGGGGCTGATAATTTTACCCCGCGGTCGTGCACCCTCCTACGCGCGGGACCAATCAGGAGCTCAGCGTACAAGACAGCCCTATCAGAAGGCCAGCTGCCGTTTCTCGGGCGGTCCCACAGCACCGGGTCCCCTGAACCCCCCCTACTATGCAGTAACTCCTTAGCTTACGGCGCATATTATATATTGCTACATGGAATCCTGGCAGCTTGGCTGATTTCGCGCAGGACTCCCACATGCCCCAGAACTCAGAACCCAGAATCCAGAACCTACGCCCTACACGCACAGTTGAGCATCGGGGGCATCGATGATCTTCTTCGGCGGCCCCCACTGCGTAGTCCAGCGCTTTGTCTCGGGCGAGAGAACTGACTCAGTGCTACTCGAGGTGGTGGATTCACTACGGTAGAAGTACAATGGGGTTCTGTGCCATTGTCCTTCTGAGCGCCGCCGCTGGCTTGCCTGCTGTTCTAATGCATGGGACTTTTACTTTTCGCGGGGCGAGACCCCTAATTCAACATCACTCAAGACGGACGTTCGCTACAATCTTTGTTATAGTGTCATATGAAACAAAATGATTGTTGATTGTAAACAGTTTGACTCCGTTCTGGCCTGAACAAAGCCTCTTTACGTTTACCGCGGAGAAGGCACCCGATCGGATGGTAATCCGCGGGTGCAGGTGGAGACGAAAAGTGCTTAACGTCAATCTTTTTAACCCAAATAGATAAGCTGACCACCCTTTACTGTACCTACAGTGTAGCAGTGTGTGCTGTAGGTACTCACACAAGACAAGACGGGATCCGTGTCACTTCAACTGTAGGCTTATTCCCGATCACAAGCATCGCCCCCTTTTCCCGATCGAGCGCCTTCATTCCTCCCGAAGCCGCTCCGCTTTTGGGGGTTGCTTTGGGGGTTGCTTTGGGTCAGACGATGGACTAGGTATGACTAGGTAGGCTATCTCGAAAAGGGCCTCTCCTGCTGGCATCCATCTCGAACGGGAATCAGGAGCTCAAAGATCTGCCTTGCCAATTTGTAGGTGCTTCAACTCCAATGACTGTCTTTCTTGATTGGCTGTCACGCTTCATGGCTGTCAACCCATTGCTGTATCCTCGAGTATGAGATCAAACTCGGAATGTCTACCACAAACTTCTACTACATCACTCGCGAGACGGTGAAGATTTGTGTGATACATTGTGATTATGACTATCAAGGAGCACCAGATGGCGCTTTCCACCAACAAAGGACTCCAGAATAACATCCTAATCTACAATTTCCAATGACAATGCTGTCCTTCCTAGACGCCCTGCCTTGCGTGCCCAATTAGTCCTATTCCATTCGCCAAGGACCCAGAAACCCCATCCAAGCGCAAGTGATATGTGCCCTTATACTACCTATATACGTTCTCTCCTCGGAGCTCTCACCACCGTAGGAGGTGCTGCTGCATCTGGAACTGCCCACTCTTCGGGTCTTTCCTGTACATGAAGATCATCATCTCGGGGTTCCTCTCGTCGATGATCGCCTCGCGCTGCCGCAGGCGCGCCCACTGCTCATACAGGTCGCCCTCGGTCTCGTTCTCCTGCTCAATGTCCCGGTTGTACTTGGCCAGCGCGACCATGGCGCGGCTGTCCCAGAAGCCGTCGCGGCGCGGGTACTTCTCCATGAGCGCGATGGCCTCCTCGCGGACGTCGACGTCGCGGCACTTGCTGGCGACGATCAGCAGCGCCATGGTCGGCCCGTTGTCCATCGTGAAGGCCTCGCTGCAGCCGCCCGCCTTGGGCTGCCGGGGCAGCAGCACCGCGCCGAGGCGGTTGATCTCGCGGAACTGCGGCGTCAGCTGGTACATGGTCTCGTACTCGCTGAAGCAGATGGAGCGCGTGCTCATCCACGCAACCAGGTACTGGATCTGCAGGCTGACGGCGCGCAGGTAGCCCTCCTCGTCGGCGCGCTTGCTGTGCCGCCGCGCGTTGTACAGCGGCCAGAAGGCCGCGTTCCACCGCTCCAGCAGCTCCAGGTTGTGCCGCTGTAGGTCGCGCACGCCCGGCACGTCGCACATGTCGAGCTTCTGCGCCGCCTCGGGCCCCACGCGCTCAATCTCCCTGACCAGCTGGATCACCACCGTCCGCGGGAACTGCAGCACCCAGTGCTGCACCAGGTCCCACCACTGCCGCGCCTCGTCCAGGTCCGCGAAGCTCTCGGGGACTTTGTGCACCGGGTACTCCTTCACCCGGTTCTGCGTGTGCGGTGTCTTGTTGTTGGTGCGTTTGGGCCGCAGCAGGCCGGTCGACCACGACTGGAAGTCGAACCGCTGGAATACTTGGAGGATCTCGTCCTCGATCACGTACGGTGCCGGGCTGTGGGTGAGGAACTCGGTTGTGGGATCCTCTACGTCCGGTGGGGTTTTGGATTTTAGGAAGGCCTCCATCATCTGCAGCCCGTGAGAAATGTGATGTAAAGCTGCCTCACGGTTGCCGTGGAGAGTTTCAAAGCAGACGAAGAGGATGCAGGAGAGGATGGCGGCACGCAGAGCAGACTCGGGGTTGGGTCCTTGTTGCAGACGGACGTGACGGAGTGCCCGGCCGTAGTATGTTAGTGCGTTCTTGTAATGAGGCCCATTGTCCAAGAGTGCGCCAAATGTCTTTGGTAGCATGTTCGGTGACATGGCATTTGCCATGGCCCCAATGGCCATACCGGCGTATCGTATAGCAGGCTCATCGCGAGATAGCTGTGGGATAGTACGAGTCCAAAGATCGGATTTGAAGAAGCCCCCGCCCATGTTGTTGGCAAGCGCCAGCCAATGGTCAAAGTAGACCTTCTCCCACTGGTAATCGAAGACGCCGCCGTTGAAATTGGGCTCAAGGAGCACAGGCGTTGCAACGGCGGTTGGTGCCATAGGGGCTGCCGCCTTCACAAGTTCCGTGCTTGTGCTCGTTGTGTTGGTGTCTGGTGACGAGCCAGACGTCGACGTCCCCTTTCCATTCTCGCTGTTTGGCGTCGAGGTAGATTCATAGCCGTCACAAAAGCCCTGCCATTTCATGCATCGCTGGCATGACGGACGGGCTTCGTCGCACTTCACATGCCGTTTCCTGCGATGACAATAAGCAGCTGAACAAAAAGGCCATAGCAGACAAAGAAAAATGAACGGCAAGATGGCAGCCACAAGAAAATCAAGTTTGTACTCACTTGCCTGCACGGTTGTTAGTAAGCTCATGAAAAATTCAACATGGGCGGTGACACTTACAAGTAAGACAGCCAGTCCGTACTTTGGGGACACTGGCCCGTGTCGCTCGCGGCCGATGCTGGAGCGCAAAGGTCAAAATCTGAGGTCCCGGAGTTCCAGCCACCCTGCTGAAGGGGTTAGTTACCATATCCCATGACGACAAAGGCGCCCGTATGACGGTTGAGACGCTGGAGAAGGACTTACTTGACGTTTTTGATGTTGGGCGGGACGCTGCTTCTGCCGGTCTTTGGCATGAAATAACTCGCGTCTTGGCCCTCCGTGTTCGTACTCGTCATGCTTGGCAGGCTCTGGAAAGCGAAATGCGTAAGGCAAGCAGATGTAGGACCTCCACTTGGCACGTTCAGAATCGGAAATGCGTGTGTGCTGAGTGAGTGCCGCTGACCCAAGGCGAGGAGGATCAAGTAAGCATACACAAAAGGGCGGGGACGGCGGCGCTTGATATAAGTCTACTCCAGACGACGATATGAGATGTACAGTACCGCAAGGATCAGCCCATGAACACTGAGACAGGAGCACCAGGATGCAGCATTCACTTGCACATTCAGCACTGAAGGAATGGTGCCAGCTTGAGGAGTGAGTGATTGATTGATTGATGGAAAAGGAAAGACGTCTTTCCATTGACTAGCAGCGATAGAGCAAAAGTGGCAGGGCAGAGCATGTCAGCATTTGGGGAATACCTATAGTACAACGGTTGTAACGGCTCCCATCGCCAGCGCCTTCGTGGCAGGGGTGCACGCCATCAAGACGCAACTCTAATTGATTCTAGGGCAAATTGCTCGCCGGAAGGAAGCAATTTTGCCCATTTTGCTCCATGTAAATCTTGCCTGTCAACGCGCTTGCAAGGGACCGTCTGGGCGACTAAGACAAGCGGGCAGGCTAACAGTGGCTATCTTTAGGGCTCGAGTGCTCAGGGCGAATACGCCGTCGATATTTTGCAAGGGGCGGCCCCATGGGCATCGCCCACACCTGATTCCATACATTTACCAGCCCTAAGGAGTGGGCATGGCTTGCAGATCTGCTCCTGTCCGTGTACAATACGGCCGTGATGGAAGTCTGCCCGGCCGTTGTCATCTCGATTGCATATGGGTTAAACTACTGTACAGTAGTGTACGGTATGTTTCTAGGCTGCACCTTTCAATGCAAGCTGACTTATCGCTGTCGGGGTCACCGCCACTTGTGAACGCGTCTTTCGGCGGTGCTCGGGGGATGGCGCCAGCTAACACCACCATTGTGAGAATGTGTGAGCCCACATCCGAGTCAGGGAACGAATCAGCTGCAGAGCCTATTGTGTCAAGTGCCATACGCAATAAATGAGGCGGAAATCATAGGGCTAAGCTCACAATCCCCCATAGGATGGATCCTAAGCCCCGAGCCACTTCGGATCTTCAGTTCCAAAGTGAAGTGTCCGCCCTTTTGGCCTTTGGCAGCGGAGGCGGACAACACCAGCCGGGCGGGCATGAGTCTGAGGTGAGACGGTTAAATAAGGCCTGGTTTAGTATAAGAGTCGTATTAAGAGCGAAAGGGAGATAAGTAACACCACCTTGTTTGACTGTTTGATTGCAAAACGCGCCGCTGGGAGATCATGGCGCAAGGTCAGCCCTACACCCTAGTATCTACCTTTATGTCTAACCACAAGCTTAAACTCCCATTCTGAGACAATCCTTCTTTTCAGTGACCACAAAGCAATTCACAAAATATTACCACAATTCTACGCTGTGTTCATTAAGACGATTGTTCTCCAAAAGACAATAAATGCTGATATCGACCATCTTGCCTTCGCCTTCATTCCCCTTTCCAATGCCCCAGACACATGTTCACCCATGCATCCTTGATCGTTCTTCACCTGGATCCTTCTCCCCCCACTCTTGGTACCGCCTGTAAGAACGTTTCGTTCGGGAGGACCGTTGGCCTCGTCCGCATGGTGGCTTGCCGCTAAACAAGCCCAATCCTTGAACTCGGGACCATGGCCACCATAGAGAATCATCGAACTAACCATGCTATCATTCTGCATTCCTGTCAAAACTCGAGGGCAAAACACAGGGGGAGTCTGAGGGTAAATTATCCCGTAACGGTCTGCTTGACGAGCTGGATTCTCACCCCATCTTACACTTATAACCCTTCTGGGAAAGTGTAACATCTTGGCACCCTGATTGGATCCCACAGGAACGAAAGTCGCATGGACCCCATTCATGGTCGTCTCGCTTGCTTCGCGAAAGTCACCTTGAGAACACATGAGATGGGGAACCACCCCAGCACTGCCGTGCAGCCCAGCCAGACGTTCCTTGCATGCAATCGATCCCAGTGAGATCCCAAGGGATCGTCTTCTGCACAGACTTATCAAAAACTCAAATCACCGGAGACGGCTTCGCGCTGCCGAAAGCCTTGATTTTGATACTCAGGGAGTCGCTCCTTTTTGCTCCACGTAAGCCATGGCTGCTTAGACATCTGTCGCAGTCAACGTCTCTTTTGGGCTTCGGCCAACCGCCACGGCTTTCGGCCGCAAGCTTTAACGCCGATCGTAATGAGCACGAGCTCATCTTTAATATTTGGGAGGCTTGAATCATAGTCACGGGCCTAAAGACAGGCGATACCACTCCGTAGATCGACAAAAGACCCATGCGCATTGCTTGTGTAACATAACTATGAGCGGCTATTCCTTGGTGCGTAGCGATATACTTCACCATGCACCTAGCTCGCCTTGCCTCGCTTGGTGCCATTGCATCTGCAGGATTGTTGTTGGGCTTTTCACAAGCGCGTCATTTGGTAAGGCAGACACAAAAAGACAATTGACAGCATGGGTTTCGAATCCTGATGGATGGTTTATGCATGCGTGATCGATCGACCAGGAAGGCTAGCATCACCATCCGGAATGGCGATTGGGTGGTCAAATAGGAGTGGATGCGCCTCCTTTATTTAACACGGCCTTGCAGACTGCAGCGCCCACTTAGACTACGGCAATCTATCAAAAGCGGAACTAATCCGGTGATAGCTTCGTCATCTTGCCTTGCGCTAACTCACTGTCTAACAGAATCTTACAACTTCTAGAACAGGTGATGCGGAGCTTGGGATCGTCGTCTTCCTTCATCGGTGTTCAATTTGTCATTGGTTATAGAAGCCAATCACTGATGCAGAGAATCGGAGTTCGGAGTTCGATGTTGGCTCCAACATGCTTGTGATACTAAATCTCGACACCGACGGTGAGTTGTTTTGAACATATGGATGGAAGTGGCACGTTGCACTTATGTTCAGTAATCGACAGTTATATGCTCTGTTTCTTGTCAAGACTTGTTGGAAGGTGATGAGCGATTCCCAAGAGAAATTCGCTTCACGCTTGCATAAGTTCACTTTCGTGTTTGTCTCTCATCTCTATCTTGACTCCATGGCCGTTCTCACGTCACTGAAATGATGCCTGATTTTGGTCGTACTAATTGAGTCAGTTAAGTCGATGACATCTTTAGGCAGAACAGCATTGCTGGCCAATCAATCAACATTTGACTTCGTCAGTGTTCGTCTATGCCAATTCTTAATCATATTACTAGGCTTAAGCAGTACCAATACATTTCGAAGGATAGAGCGTTAATTCATCTTGTTTCATCTATCTGTTGTTGAACCATGAAGGAGTATCCCTTGTGATCCTATGGACATCTTGGATATAACACTGCTCTACCAATTAGCCTCTTACAGCAGTGGCGGCAGCTTGGTTGAAGACAATTCTGAAATGCCATATCTGGTATGAGATTGCCTCGTAGACAAAAAGGGAGGCTTTGGGAAACACAGTAGCTAAACACAAACGCACTGCTAGATAGTTGGTCCTGTTTCTCTCTGTTATCAAGATCCAAGAATCCTTACCTGGTGATGCGATATGAGTCTGTGAGCTCGTCTCCCAAATGGCGATGCCAAGGTTTATCCACTTACGAATGTAGTAGCGAACGACAAGTAGCCAACAGGCGTATGTCCTGCCTTCTCAATCAACATGATGAGCACGCCAGAATTCCAACCCATATCAGCAGGATCGTGCTAGATGAGTTTCAAAATCTACACCGTCAAGCTTCGATCTTATTAGGTTTAACATACGAGATCACAACGCAAAGGGGTGAATTTATCGACACTCAAACAAAAGATTGCATATTCTTGCAAGACGCATGTAAGGCAAGATGGAAAAATGCTGTTCCTGATATAATGTTCAATTGGTGATACGATGCATACGAGCTGAAGAGTGTTTGGTGATCATATAGACATAGGAGAAGAAACCCAGCACCTGCTCATCGAGCTGGACACATAACCTTCCCATCGTCTTGTTGCTTCGAGTTTCCTCCGCAACTGATGCAATGACCAAAATGTCTGTCAGGACATTGCCACATAAACTGTGGCGGCAAGTACTTCCTACAGTCAGGCCAACCGCACCTAAGCACTGCTCGGTATTTGGGAGCCGTCCGCATCTCCTCCCATGCTAACCAGACTGCGCAGGCCTCTTTCGTGTCAAGACATTGAATAAAGTTGGGAAATTCGATGCGCATGTTGCAGCAAGTGGCTTGAGCCTCGAAGTATGCGCCGTCTATGTAGCTACGAGCCAGCTCGTTGCATTCCTTCTTCTGGCGCGGATCATCGGCGAATTCGGCTTCCCGAGCCCAATGGCCGCCAGCTTCCAAGAGTTCCTTGATCTCTTCACGTGTCTCCGTCTCGTCCATTGATCTGTAGAAGCACCTCGCTGCGTTAGTCAGGCACTGATGGCAGAGTGCATGTCCGCACTCGAGCCGATGCAGACCTACAACGAGTCCGAGCCGATGGCAGTCACGGCATGCCGCCAGAGGCCAACACACATCCTCTCCAATGATCTCAACCTTGCGTGCAGACCTCTCGTTATGGTTGCGAGCATTTTCGTCGGCCTTGTAAAGGAGAGCTGCGCCTCTGCTGGCCATCTGTTTGATGTCATCTGCTGAATGATGATGGTCGTGGCAATTACTGACACCATAGTCGTCGAATCGAGGAAGACGTTTCGCGACAATATCCGGAACCGGAGCTGGTGCATCATCAGTCACCTGGTTCTTGTCGACATCGTTCATCTCTGCGACGAAACAACTTGACTTACCTGGCTCTGTCGGTTTACAATGTTGAGCTCGTATTGTGTTCGCAATTGGATTTCGATGGAAAAATCTCAAGAACCACCAGTCATAGACCATAGCAAGAATATCAAGGACGAGATTCGGTCTTATAAGAGCTGGCAGTATGAGAGCCATCGAAAGAAATTGCCCGGAAGTGTGACTTGAATAAGCTC